CGTCGTCCGCCCGCGGCTCCCCGCGGCTGCCACAGGCCGTCCGGCTCTGGGGCTTGGCAGCTATTTCGTCGCCGCCGCGGCCGCGGCCGCGCCCGCGGCTTGGCAGTTATTTGCGGCTTGCGGCTTGGCAATTTCTCGCGGCCTTGCAGTTAATTACTTGCCTGGCAGTCACTTGCGGCTTCGTTGGGACACGAAAAGCGCCCGCGGCTTGGAAGCTACTTCGTCGCCGCCGCGGCCGCCGCCGCCGCCGCCGACAGCGGCCGCCGCCGCCCACGGCCGCCGCCCACGGCCGCCGCCGCCGTCAGCGGTCGCCAGCGGTCTGCCGCGGCCGCCGCCGCGGCCGCCGCCGCGGCGCCCGCGGGCGGTGCTGCGGGCCGCGGCCGCGGCCGCGGCAGACCGCAGTTCGCATCGTACGCTCCCGGCGAGACGGCCTCGACCAAGGGAGGATCGGGGACGGCAAAGAGGGGGGTGATGACTAGGGGGGGGGATATCATGGCGTGGGCCATGATATTCCCCCAGATTTCATGGCGCCTTTTCTGATTTCATTACGTCCCTGGCCCCCAACCTGGGCCGCGCACATGCCGCCGGTCATGATTCGCTCCCGGGAGGAAAAACCACCCGGACCCGACGGTCGGCGCTTACTGAGCGGCCCTGGGCGTTTACTGAACAGCCCTGCCCTGGTCGATTCCTTCTCGGGGTGCGTTTTACGAGACGGCTTCGCGTGTCGGGGCGGCTCTTATCGGGGTGGATTTGCCGCCCTCTTCTCAAGAACAATACCCCAGCGAAGCTCCCTAGTAGCAGCAAAGGCTGGGACAAGGGTGAGAGCAGGGCCATGTGCACATCAGCGTACATGTCTCCAGGGATCGCAGCCGTTTGGACTAGCAGTGTCGCTGGCATGGAGGCGAGAGCACGATTCTGGAGTAAAGCGCGAGGCAGTCTCAGGCGAAACCGCCGCCGCGCCGCTGCCATAACGGGTGATCTCGGGCGCCCCATTCCCCTTGTGGGATTGTGCGGTTGCATATCTAATTGTCAGAACCCTCTAGCGAAGCGCTAGCAGTGAACTATGATCTATGCCGAGCCTCGCACGCGTTCGCTTGCGGGGTCTGTGTTTTTGTTACGCGTCCGTCGATTGTTTGTGCATGGTCTTGGCGGGGCCAGTGTGAGGTTTCGGAGGGATCCATAAGGTAGTGATTTGGACTGCGGAGTTCTCCCTCCCTCCTTCCTTCCCTCTCCCTCCTCCTCCTGCCAAGCTTTGCAGACTCGTTGGTTCACCCAATCGTTCGCCGATTCATTGTGAGCCAACACGAGTTTGACGTGCACGGGTTCTGCTTGTCTGCGCTATCCATGCTGTACAAGAAACCAAGAGCAGAAGCTTTCTTTCGTCGGATGGGCAGCCTCCTTCCTTCCCCCCACTTCCCTCCTCACCCCGACCGTTTTTCCCCTCTCCCAATTATTCTCCCCTCCATCCTCCCTTCCTCCTCCGCGCTCCCTCTCCATTCATCCGACCCTTCCTCCCCTCACCTCTCTCAGATCACAATGAGACGACCCGCATGCGTCGCATTTTTGGGGGCCAACGCGGTCGTGGGAATGATCGCTCTGGGTGGGTCCACCAGGCGACGGTTCGCTGCGCAGGGGAGGCGCTCCCACACCTCGACGCTGGCTGCATCGCGCGTCCAGGCACTCCTCGCGGACCGCCGACCCGAGCCGACCCTTCCCCCCCCCCGCCCCACAGCCGAGCATCCTCTTTGGGTGGAGGGCAGGGGTGAAACCTGAGGCTCTGGTCGGCCGATTGAGATTCTGCACAATCACAAGAAGGCTTGAATCTGAGGCTCGAGACCGGCCAACTCTCTCTGAGGCTTGAATCACAAGATTCTTCGGGTGAAACTTGAGGCTCGAACCTGCACAAGAGGTGACTCAGAAGACTGCTTGCTCGTCGAGTGCAAAAAAAGCCCCGTATGGATCTCGCCCGGAGCCCTCCACCCTCAGAAGATGCTCAGCACGGGGCAGAGGCCCCTTCTGGAAGCCGGGAGCTGCGCTGCGGCCCTGCGCCCTCGCGGCGAGGTCACCAGCCTGGGACATATCCCTATCCCTCTGCGGGGCACCTCCTCGTCACGATGCCAATCTTAGGGACTCCCTTATTTCTTGAAGGCGAGTCCCTGAGATTGTCATCGCCTCTTGGCGTGTCAACCTTAGGGATAGGGATACGTTCGAGGCTGGCAGCGAGGGCCGGCTGCCGCTCCTCGCCGGAGGCCGCGGAGCACGGCCTCGCCGAGGCCGCCCGAGGGCTCGGCGCCCGCCTCGCTCGGGCCCCCTGCCGGCCTCGGCCGAGCGCCGCGCGGGCCTGACGTTCGCCGGAGGGCAGCTGGCCTCATCCTCCTCCTCCTCCTCCTCCTCCTCCTCCTCCTCCTTCTTCTCCTCCTCCTCCTCCTCCTCCTCCACCTCCTCCTCCTCCTCCTTCCTCCTCCTCCTGTTTCGCCGTCTGCCTCGCCCCCGCCCTCCTCCTGCGGGCACGGGGGAGGTGGCGAGGCTTCTGGTGCGAGCTGCCCCTGCCCTCCTCGCCCCTGCCCTCCTCGCCCACATCACACCAGAGGATAGATTTACCAGGCAGTTTTCGTTGTCATCAGACCACATCACACCAGAGGATAGATTTGTCAGGGGTCGACGTTTCGATTATTTCTGCCAGTTGTTGAATATGTTTGACGCTGGCTCTTTCATGCGAACTCCGCATGTAGGAGGACATGCCCGATCTATCACTGGTTCTGGCGCCAGCAAGAGCGGCGGGCTGGTTCGAGGTTTTCTGGGTTCGGGACGGTTCTTGTTTGCCTTTCTCGGGCTCCAGGGGCGGTCCCCGATACCGTGATAATCAGGTTTGGGGTGAAAAATTCAGGAAGAAAGTTATCGGGTTGGGACGATGTGGCTGGGATAAGTCAGGATATCCTTACCCGTAGGCGACCGAAGGTATCGTGAATTGCATCCGAATGCTATTGCTCATACCCTGCATCCTCCAAACCCCGTCCTCCCAACACGCTCATTGTTCTCATCAAAAACTGCTACCAGACTGACCCCAGGAGGGGTCCGGGGACCGATTTTGAGGCGACGTCTCGATTTTTTCAGGACGGCGTCCCCAGAAGTCCCGACCCTTTCCCTGGGGCCGGCTTCTCATCCTGAGTTGCTTTTTGACGCTCCCGGGGGCCAGCGAGGGCCCCCAGGGGCCGAAAACAGCGCAAAGCCTCCCAGCATGATCTCTGCTGCGACGTGATCACTTGGCATCGCTCGGACGTGTGCATTTTTCCCTCGGCGAGGACCCTCGAGGAGCATCCTGTATCACTTGGCGAAAACACCGCGCACGAAACCGAGAAAAAAAACACAGGGCATGGACGTCCGAGCGATGGCGAGATCATGCCTGGGACCGACCTTTCGGGGGCCCCACCCAGCTCGGACCCCCCCGGGGCCTCGCCTCCGAGCCCCTGCCGCCCACCCCCACCGCGACAGCACGCAGCTGGCGCCGGCCCCGACTGCGCCGCCCCCGCCGCAGCGGAGGGCTCCGGCGGGCAAGCACCACCGGGGCGGGCGCGGCACGCCCGTCGTTGCAGGCTTCCGTCGGGCCTGTCCCTCTGCAGGAGGATCTTCAAAAGTAGTCCCCCCCCAAAAAAAGTCTGGTGACGATGTGTTGGGGGCATCTTCTGAATAGTTGTTGACTCGGAGGTCGGGGGGTGAGATCGAAGTGGAACGGAGAGCCCCCCACCGGGAAAGCGGTTTCGGTTTCGTGTTCGTGCGTGCCGTGCGTGCGGGCGAGGCGAAGCTGCGTGGGCGGGCGAGAGGAAAGTCACCTGTGGCTGAGGCGCGGCCGGACCAAATGATTCTCCCTCCGGCAAGCGGTGGCCCGCGGTGTCCCGCCCGTGTCCCGCCGGTGTCCCGGTGTCCCGCTGATGCGAAAACGATAGTGAGATCGATGACGAAATCGATTGTGATATCGATAGTGAGATCGATAGTGAGACCGATAGTTAGATCAATCGTGAGATCGATAGTGAGATCGATAGTGCGATGAATAGTGATATCGATTGTGAGATCGATCGTGATATCGATAGGGAGATCGATAGTGGGATCGATAGCGAGATCCAGAGTGAGATCGACAGTGAAATCGATCGAGTGAGATCGATAGTGAGATCGATCGAGTGAGATCGATAGTGGGAGCGATGGTCCGAAGAGCGAGCGGCAACGCAACAATCACCACTGTTGCCCATGGCTGGCCCCCCTCCCCCCCCCCAACCTCCTGATCACCCGCAGGGTGGTCGTATAGGTATGTTTGATGTTTCGTCCAAAATTCCCCTGTAAGAGGACGTGCCCGACCTAAAAGTATGTACTTCTGGGTTCCCAGATCCCAGTCTACTCTTAGCGCCTGCCTACTCCAAGGATCGACTGGTTTCCTTCTTCCCTCCTCTTCAGGGGGGTGACGTCATTGGGCAGGACAATCGCCTGTGCATGGTGCGTGACTCGCGGGGACTTGCGACAACCTCCAGGAATCTGGCGGAATTTGGGCGCATGCCAATGCCCGTCGGTCTTTGAAAGTAGGTCCTTGTGGAGCTTTCGGATCCCAATCTACTTTGAGCGCCTCCCTACTTTCCCAGCTCTACTTCTGTCTGCTTTTAGCGCCTTCCTAGTTTCCCGGATCCCAGTCCCTATTTCTGGATTCCCAGATCCCAGTCTACTTCAAGGATTGACTGGTTTCCTTCTTCCCTCCTCTTCAGGGGGCGTGCGGGAGGCCCAATCTTCTTCCCACGCATTCCTGCTTCTTCCGACCGGCGTGTACCGCACGTTCCGAGGATCATCGACGGCTCTACGCGCCCCCAAGCGATGCAGGATCCGCCAGAGTCTCTTTCTAGGGCCGACAGACAATGACAGAAACAACAAAACTCGGAGGTCCGCGCGGATTTCTCGGATCGGCGCTGGACCCCCCTGGCGGCGCCTCCAGCGCCGCCCCTGGCGCGGTCCGCGCGCCAGGGAGGGGGCTCCAGCGCCGATCCGAGACATCCGCGCGGACCTCCGAATGTTATGTTTACGCCATTCTTCGTTCCCCTACCTACGCGCCCCCAAGCGATGCAGGATCCGCCGAAGTCTCTCTCTGAGCAGGCAGGATCGTTTGCACAGAGGGGCCGTATAGATGTGGCGGCGGTGTTCTACGCGGCGGCTGCCCAAGACCCAGGAGCGACAGAGTCTCAGCAGTGGGCGGCCCGCCAGAACGCGTTTCTCTGCGGCGAGAAGACTGCAGAAGGTATTCTAGACCTCCTAGATGGGGTCGCAGTAGATGGGGTCGGAAAATCGCGCCGCATCGCCGATGCATCGGCGATGCGACTCGATGTGGAGCTCGATTTGCTTCACGTCGACGTCGCCGATGCATCACCGACGTTGACGATGCATCGCCAGTGCGTCGCCGATGCATCGCCGATACATTGCCGATGCATCGTCAATGTATCGGCGATGCGGCGCGATCCTCCGACCCCATCTACTCCGACCCCATCTAGGAGGCCTCCAGGTATTTGGGGCACCACAGCTCCAGAGTTCTTGTGTGATCGCCGCCATGCCGTAGTAAGGGAGGTGATTCAAAGAGCAGTTGCGGGTGGCAAAAGAGTTCTCATTTTGGGGAGCGCATTGGGTGCTTACGCGGTGGCAGCCATCAGAGGAGGAGCATCGAAGGTATTGTGCCAAGAAGCGAATGCCCTTTTCGAGTATGTTGTTGGGCAGGTGGTTAGCACCAATAATATTGAAGACTATGTGGAAGTGACTGCAAAGCCTGCTTCGGAGTTGGAAAGAACAGTCGATGCTCCTTTCGACGTGCTTGTGGTTGCTGAGCGTTTCTGGAGCAGCTCGGTCACACGCAAAGTCATAGAGGATCTGACCGCAGTCCTCCCCCTCTTGGCCGCAGACGCACAGATCATCCCAGAGAGAGTTTCCGTCTGCGCGCAGGTGTTCGAGAGCGAGACGTTGCGGGTAAGCAATTGGCTCGATGTTGAGGCGTTTCGACAAGAATCGGGCTTCGATTATCGAAGTCGCCTACGGCCCGCCGCTCTCTGCCCTCTGGGTAACGCCTATGTGGTCAAATGTTGGGCCAAAGTTCGGCCAAGTTGTTGGACCATGTGTTCCCCCAGCCGTGGTTGGAGGAACATGTGGGGAAGGACGAGAGAAAAAGAGAGGAGGAGGAGGAGGAGGAGGAGCAGCAGCAGCAGCAGGAGCAGGAGCAGGAGCAGGAGGAGGCAAGAAGGAGGCCTCTTGGGGCCACTTCGGGGTCTCTTGGGGTGGGCCTAGTGAACCGTCCCCCCCCGAATGGATTTGTGCCGATGTTTCACTTTCTTGCTATTGGGCTCCCTTAGCCTGGCGCTTGTAAAATGTAAAGTCTGCTGATGGACCACGTAGACGAGATGTGATGCGTTGTGGTAGGCCGTCGAAGGTCCCTACTCTGAACCAAGAGCTCGCGCCACGCCGACAGCAAACGCCTTGAGCCAAAAATGGCGCTTAGTATTTGACGCAATGGCAGCGTGGCAGCAATGGCGAGGCAATGGCGGCGGGTAGCAGTAAAGTGAACTACCCGTATTCACCAGGGCCTCTTTGGAGCCGTATCAGGGCCTCTTAGGGGGGGGGACTTTGGGGCCGTCCCAGAGTTCTCTTGGCCCGTCTGACGCTTTCGGTGGTCGTTTGGGGGCGATCTCCGGGCCTCTTGGAGTGCTGTGGGCCTCCTTAGGGGTTCCTTGGGCCGTCCTGAAGACCGCCTTGGGGCCATCGTGGCCCGCCTTGGGGCCCTGAGCCTTTCTGGGCCGCGTTGGAACTATCTGGAGGTCTGTCGGGCCGTCTTCGGCGGCCGGAGACCAAGAGCGGGAAGAATTCGAGCATCTGCCAAAACACATGGAGTTTGTAAGTCTCGGGCTCCCCGAGAGGGTCCCTTTGGAGACTCCTTGAGGAGTCTTGGCGGCCTCTCGGGCCGTCTTGGAGCAATCTTGGTCCGTCTTGGGCAACCTTGGAGCTATCGCGGCACCCTTGGAGGCCATCGTGGACCGCCTCAAAGGCCATTTGGACCTTCGTGGAGACATCTTGAGAGCATCTTGGCGGAAAGGCAATCAGGATACTTCTTTTCTGGGCTGGACGGTTGTGCTGGAGGCCATTGGGAATTGTTTGGAAGGGCTCAAAGGGTTTAATTGTGGCACGCCTACAACCCCTCTTGCAAGGAACAGCGGGCGGCGGATGTAGTGGATTCTGGCCAATCTAGCTACCGTGCTTGGGTTGGGCCAGAGGCCTCTTGAATGGCTCTCGTGATCTCTTGGGATGCCTCTCGGAGGCCTCTTGAGGCGGCCCTTTGGGTGCCCCCGGGAGGCCTCTGGGATGATAATTTGGAGCCTCTTGGCGTTTCTGGGGTGCTCTTGGGGACATGCCGTGGGTCTTGGAAGCTAGTTCGAAGGGAGGAGCTCCCGAAGCCCATTCGCTTTCCCTTTTTGGTGCCATTTTGGGTTGTCTTGCACGTATCTTGGGGCATGGGCAAATCTTTGGGGGTTTGGGAGCCGTTTTGGAGCAATTTTGGAGGCCCCTTGGGCTGTCTTGGAGCGTTGGAAGACCGAAAAAACGAGACGCTCAAATCGTTTGACAAAAACGTGTGGGTCATCAATGTGTCCCTATGGTCTCAGAAGGAACGCGAGACCCCCAGGAGATCCCGGCAACTACGTAGGCCTCCAGGCCCCTCCAAGAGCATCCAGAGGGCTCTTGAAAACCTGGGGTCGCTCCATTCAGTGCATCGCAGTGCGGTGGCGGATTCGCCGTACAATTCGGCTGCTAGACGCTCGAGAATGGCGTGGCGCTTGCCTGCTTCAAAGTTCGGCTCGGCCTTGTCAGCACCGGCTGAATGGACATTGTTCGATGCGCGCCTGTGTCGTGGAAGAGATGGTCTTCATTCGCGTACGTCCACCATTGGCGCGGCTACCCTTTCGATGCGGACCGCCAGCAAGATGGACGCCATAGTCACATGGACTTCTATGATTTTAGACGTTCAGGCTTGCCGTGTGAGCTGGGAGCCTGGGGATTCTGAGGCCACTTGCTGGCAATATGCCCATTATTTCCGTGAGCCTTACGACGTCAGTGACGGCTGCGAAATAGATGTCTCATTCGAGTTGCGGCACGACGGCATTTGGCTTGCTGGCATGAGGACACACGGAGATAGTATGGAGCTCTCTCCGTATCATACTTGGATGCTTTCAGATGATCCCCAGCGGACATCTGCGTATCGAAAGGGCATCGACTATGCAGTCCAGTCGCTGCGAGCGAGATATAATGGCAAGGTGACCGTGCTGGACATTGGTGCGGGGACTGGTTTGCTTTCTTTCTTCGCTGCCCGCGCGGGTGCTGAAGTGACCGCGTGCGAACGCGCGGGCACCACAGTCGCCTTAGCCTCGCGGATTGCAGAGGCAAACCAGGACAAGTTCAAGCCGGGGAGCGTCAACATCGTTCATTCCAAAAGTATGGATTTACACAAAGGCGCCGAGCTGGCGGTTGCGCCGCATCTGATAGTTTCTGAAATTTTTGGAACGGACCCGCTAGCCGAGAGCGTATTGCCAGTAATCGCAGATATTGGCGCGCGTTTTGCAAGTGCGAGCCCCCCAGTTGAATTCTTGCCTTGTCGCTGCCGGCTATGGGGTGCACTTGCGAAGGTCCCCGTTGATTGGCAAGCTCGCACAGAAAGCGCTGTGAGCTGCGGCATCGATATTGGTGAGCACATGTTTCCCTTCGAGTCTGGACGGATTTTAGTTGACCTTCGGGATGAGTTCTGCGACATCGAGCTGCTCACGGAGCCTGCGATCCTCGTCACACATCGGCTAGTTCCTCCTGTAAGAATATCTGGTTCCAGCGAGGCAAAGGTTCCTTTGTTGCCAGCGCCAGCAAGATTGTTCGAAGTTATGACATTACGTCGCCCTGAAAAGTCACTGAGGTCGTCCATGCACAACGAACTCTGCATAGTCATGTGGTTCGATGCTGACTGCAGCACGCATCCAAGAGACGACGCCGACGATGAGATGCGCATTTCCACTTCTCCAACGGTGCGAAGAGGTGGCCATTGGACGCAGTCCGTTCAGATCTTGTCTTCTGGAGGTGTGGAGGAGGGCGTCCTGGACGCAGTCTCTGCGGGCCAGGGCTGTGTGATCATCCGGACCGAGTGGAACGTCGACAGGACAAATTTCAATGTACGAGTGGAGAGGTTATGAGAGTATCCAGCTGAATCGGTTCGAGCCGCGCTTGCAATCGGTCGGTGGATTCCTCCCCAATCACCTCGGAGATTTTTTGCAAGACGTGCTCCCCCCCCGCACGCGATCAAGTATAAAGCGGCGCTTTACGCTGCCAGTGCCCGATCTGGTTTGCACACGTGGGCGACGCCAAAAAATTGGCTCGATTGCGCCGACATTGGCGCGTAAGTTGCCCGCGTAAGTCGCGCGTCAGCGCCCTCGTCTCCAATGTAACGTCCCGCGCTGGCGGCCTGCGCAAGCCACCGCGAAGGGTGACGATGTCATCTCGCGTACCGCTTCTTCTCGTCGCTCCAGTGCGCGCTGTGCCACGCAGCAGCCAGCTGAATTCGGACTCGCGGTGCTGCGCTTCGGCGAGAAGATGCCGCTGCACGCCGCCCATGGCGCCCCGCAGACCCGCCCCCCACAACGAGCGGCCGACTCGCGCGTCTCCCCCAAAAGACAGAGACAACACATTTGACCGGCGAAGGACCCAATCACATGCAGTTGTGAGTACCGCGTTGCGTTAACCGGTTTCAGTAGAGATCTTGATGGAGCCATGATCCTCGTGAGGGGTGCGCCGAAATGGGGCAGCGCCGCCGTGCGAACGCAGCCGCTGAGGCTTTTGGTGGAGCTCCCTGTGGGGCCACGATCTTCGCGAGGGGCGTGCTGCCGAAATGCGCGCGGTGCCGCCGTGCCAGCCTTTGCCACTGGGTCCTTCTGTGGAGCCCTGTGGGGCCACGATCCTCGCGAGGGGTGTGCCGAGATGGGGCGGCGCCGCTCTGCGAGCACGGCTGCCGAGGCCTTCGGGAGAGCTTCTTCTGGGGCCACGGCCCTCTCGGGAAGGGCCCTCCGGGGCCACGCTCCTCGCGAGGAGGTGCCGAAACGGACGTGGTGCCGCCGTGCGAACGCAGCCACTTGCGCCGCCGGTGGAGCTCGCCGTGGGGCCGCGATCCTCGCGAGGAGGTGTGCCTGGTGCGGTGCCGTCATGCGAGCGCAGCCACTTGGGCCTGCGGTGGAGCGCCCTGTGGGGCCACGAAGCGCGTGAGGGGTGAGCCGAAACGGGGGCGGGTACGCAGAGGGCAGACGCAAGGAGAGGAGCAAGGAAGGGGGGGCAGAGGGAGTAAGGAGGAACGCGGGGCACTGGCGGCAACTTAGGCCCCCATTGGAGCTCTCTTGGGCCCTCTTGGTACCGCCTTGACGACTCAAAAACTCATCGGAAGCGAAAAGGCGAGAAGGCAAACATTATTGATTATCCGTTGGCTTCTCGGGGAGGTCCTGAGGGGATTTTGAGGGCACATGGAACCGTCTTGTGGCCCTTGCGCGGCGTCTTGGAGGCATGGTGGAGGTCATAGTGAGCGATGTTGCGATATCTGGAACCCTCTTGGAGGCCATCTTGGAGCATCGGATGCCCTGTTGGAGCCACCTTGAGCGAACAAGGGCCCTCTGAGGACTCTCTACCCCCCCGTCCAAACCCTTGGGAGGGGAGGGGGAGGGTACTCAACCCCGAAGGGAAGAAGGGTTTTGGATGAGATTAGAAAGATTTCATTAGATCACCTACGCACAGCGGGCTGGTGGGATTAGATCAGCCTCGGGAGCGTGCGCGTACCAGTTCTGAGACAAGTTGTATGTTTTGGGCTCCCGATCGGCCGAGTACTTCTGAGCTCAAGGAACGTAGAGATCCCCATCCACTCTCCCATATTTCGTGGTAATCTCCGTTGTTGTTTGTTCAGCTTGTTCTGCAATTCCCCCCCACACGATTGCCAGCCCTCGCTTCGGCTTGCCCGTTCTTGGCTGACTATCGTGGCATCGCAAGACAGCAGTTGTCTTCGGTGCACAAGAAGTCCTGGAACCACAGGATCCAAACGACGAGGCTCAAACGGCAGCTTTCCCGGTTTCTCAGACCGACACCGCTCCGTCCCCGCATTCCGACGACATTGGCATTCCGATTCCGGCGTCCGACCCCATCGCGTGCTCCACCCGTATTCTTACTCCCGCACGAAGCCCAGCCCTGTTGGGATCGACGGCAACCAAGGCACAAAATCCGAACGCTGATCTGATTTCGGTGCCTCTGCCAGTGGACGAACGCATGTTGCTCCTCCTCCTCCTCCTCCTCCTCCTCCCCCTCCTCCTCCTCCTCCTCCTCCCTCCTCCTCCTCCTCCTCCTCCTCCCCCTTCTCCTCCTCCTCCCCCTCCTCCTCCTCCTCCTCCTCCTCCTCCTCCTCATCCTCCTCCCCCCCTCCCCCGCCATCATTTCTCTCCCGTCCGCCCACCCCTGCCTCTCCCGAAAATGACGATGACGGTAACGATCAGAACGACGACTAATTTTCGATTGGGTCGACTTTGGGGCACAGCCAGGCACAAGCCACAGTAGTAGAAGCGGTAGTTTATCAGCGAAGGCTCCCCACGGCAACAGCAACACATATCCAGATGTTTTCGTCGTTGGGCTTGAATGTTCATCAGTGCTTCGAGGCAGACATGTTCGAACGATGGAGTGACCAATGCGTGTCGTTAACGGCTGCCCAAGATAACCTTTCAAAGGTTTGAAGCGCGAATGGTGTTCGGGAGCTTTCCCCCCAGTTCTTTGGAGTCGTCGCCCGGACTCGCCGACCCTCAAGTTCTTTGATTTGTGTGTTTCTCCCCCGAGGGTCACACAGCATCAGACACGAAACGAGTGATACGGAAAAATGTCCAATGGGCGCGAAAATTACAATCGAACTTCCATTTGCTCCGACTATACGTTTCTTCCCCCGCCTGTTCTCCGATGTTCCGACAACGATTTCGAGAGATGCGATAGTGGTTCGGACATTGACTCACGGCGTTATTGACCTCACCCCAGATAAATATTGTTGGGGCACAGTGAGTTGGGAGAATAACGAGGTTTTGCCAGTCTGCCCTGGTTGCCGATCCTCAACCACATTCAAGAAGTAATATAATCAGCATTTCAACTACGGCTCGGCCATCACTTCCTAATATGACGGTTTCGACGTGCACGACTTTTCCGTCTTCGTTGCATATCTTGAAAAATAAATTGGTTTGGGGATCGCATTCGATCATTCATTTTTTATGTGATTATTTTCCCGACGTTGCTGACCATGACTCTGAAATATGCAATGTTGTTTCGAACGCTGGCGCCAACCGACGCGTCAACGACCGCAATAATGATATACCCAGTAGTATCGTTGTCACATTTCCCGACGCGTTTCTACATCCCAAACTTGGCATACATTCTGGTTATGTTCTCAATTCCGTCTTCGATTTTCCCCACATTGGGTTTTGCATTATTTGCACACTTCCTCGCAGGATCTCCTCCCAGCCTCCCCCCCATCCTCTTCCACCCCATCACAATCATAATCGTTATCACACTCATCATCATCAATACCACCAGCATCATCATCATCGTCATCAGCACACATTTTCATTCATTATCATCAGCACACTCACACACGCACCCTCTTTTCCACCTTACCCTTATAACCAACCATCATCTGTCAATCACCACTCACCATCATTTACCATCACCATCACTACCATCACACATTTATCACTATCACCATCCCATCGTGGTCATTGCATTGACCAAGAGGGAGCCTCGTTTGTAAGTTCAGTGTGGGGAAGTCTCAGGCGGGAGTCTCGTCTGTGAGTGTATTGCGAGGAAGTCTCAGGCGGGAGCCCCTCCCTATGGGGTCCGCATTCTTATTTTCTAGCAATCCGAGTGAAGGAAGTCTCAAGCGAGAATTTCGTTTGTGAGTGACGAAGGAATCTCAGGCAGAAGCCTCTTCCTTATGCGGTCCGCTTTTCATGTTGTTAATCCGAGCGGGCCATCGGAAACTTGTAATTGGAGACACGCATAGTCAAACAGCGATGGAGGCCGGCCTGGACGGCGTGTTCGGGTCATCTCCGGGCCCGCGTGGGGGGGGGGGCGAAGAGGAGGAGGAGAAGGAGGAGGAGGAGGAGGAGGAGGGAGGAGGCAAGAGGAGCAAGACGAGGAAAAGGAGGACGAGGATGAGGAGGACGAGGACAAAGAGAGTGAGGAGGAGGAGGAAGGGGAGAGAGAGGGGGGGGAGGAGGAGGAGGAGGACGAGGACGAAGGATATGGACGAGAACGGGAGGACGAGGAAGAGGAGGAGGAGGAGGAGGAGAAGAAACAGGAGGAAGAGGAGGAGCAGGATAAGGATGAGGAGGTCGACGAGGATGAGGACGAGGAGGGGGACGAGGACCAAGACGAGGAAGACGAGGGGTGAGTTTCTTGGGCTTCCTGGGAGGCCGTTCAGGGGGCTCCTTGGGTGCCTCCCAAGTGCCTTTTGGAGGTCTGTGGGACTTCTTTGGCGCTCTTGGATATCTCTTGGGGCCTGGAGGGAGTTTTGGTGCCATCCTGAAGATGGTCGGTCGTCTCTTCTGGATTGACAATGGAAGAAATCTCAGACGGGAGCTTCGTCTGTGAGCGAATTGCGAGGAAGTCTCAGGCACCTCGTCTTCAGACACAACTCGCTTGAGGAATTCGACAGGAGAGCGGTGAACCCCAGGGCTGAGGCGGAACAGCTCACGGCAAAGCTGAATTTCGCGTTGCCTCCCCCGCGTGAGCGCGACCGCGACTAGCTCGATGCCTGCAGGGTTGTCCCAACAGCTTGCTCTCGCGCCCCAACGGCTGCCAGGGGTATCCCAACGGCCGTTGTCCCGATGGTGCTGCGCTGTTGCCATTGGAGACGCCCTTGCCAGGCGCGGCGGCGGGGACACAACGAATCATATATACGTTTGTTTGTGTCGTATGGCGACGCATATGCAAATTACCACGGCTGGGTTGGATTTCGACAGATCCTTTACGGCTGCTACCCGCGCGTTTCGGCACATTGGCATCCATAATTGTGCAGACTTGGCGGCCTGGCTGTTACACGGTGGCCATACCAATTCCCTGTTGGAAACAGGCACTTACATCCAACCTGCCGTCCAAGAATACATCATCGATGGATTGACGTGTGTTGAAGGGATTGTAAGTGGAATCGAAGACACACGTGCTGGCATTGCTCTTGGTTTGTTTCGTGATGGCCCTGTCAGGCACTATCTCTTCACTTAGCTCTACGATCGAATTGTGGTCCGCTCTCCCATTACGCAACGACCGCAACAAGGCCGACCAACTGAAGATCCACCAAATCTATACCGAATTCACGTCATGCCCTCTTCTACGCCGAATGGTTGGCATCATTTGCGCATCGTCGATTTGGAGACGGACATCCACATACCCATTCGAACGATGAAAGGGGTGCGAAAATATGTCCGGACGCAACTCCTACGGATTATGTCGCAATGTTTGGCCGTTGTGGAAAGTACACATAAGACTAACGACTACACTGTTACGCCTAACTGTGTCGACGCGTGGACGTTGTTTCTGCTATTGCCGCGTATGTTGTTACACCAGACACACCACGGGGGCAAAGCGGGAGAGCGGGAGCTCAAACAAC